GATTGAAGTTCAAGAGCGGCATTAGTCAATTTTGCAGTTTTTGATCGGGCGCACTGACGAGTTGAAAAAATTGCCCACAAATTTAATTACCACACTTGCTACTAAATATTAGGACAAATTAATTCCGTGTTACGAAATGAATACTTCTTACCTTCTTAGCAGTTTTCTAGAATGCCTCTTTCCTTTTTTGTTTTCACCACAACACTTTTTTCAAGGTAAGGTTATTTTCTTACTGCGTGGTTCTAAAATCATTGTTATCAATGGTTTTTGTTATCGATGGTTTCGTGGCAATCAAATGGCCCAGGAATGATCCATTTCATGAAGAGTATGAATTATCAGATTTAATGAACTGTCATGACATCACTGTTTGCATTTTCATCACTGAAAATCTCATGTTTATCCAGATATAAATGCAGAGCCACAGAAAAATCTGGATTGTATTAAATGAGATTGTAAAATTTTCTAATTTTTCATGTGGAGGCGATGGCGCGCGCTTCCTCCATCGCTGGCTTATTGGCCAATCCTGGACGATAGATGATCTTCATCTGGGCAGAACTTGCTGAGTCCGCAGACTACGCAAAGATTTACCGGGAAAATAGGAAAGAAGACGTCCTACCCAAAGCCTAGTCAGTTCCTAACCTTTACTCAGCCCACGTGGGAAAAACTTCACACCCACGTTGTCTCAATTGCTGTTATAATATCCTGTTGTTTTAAGTAACACTCTGATCAGGTACATTATTATAGTTCTTTTTTATTCGAACCATTTGCATTTGGTTTCCGAGCACGACATTTATTTTCTGTCCATATCTCTGATGGGAGGTTGCTATCCCATTTCATAGCTTCCTAATAAGCCCACGATCAATTGATCATGCAGTAGTTTCAGTAGTTTGTTTTTAGTTATAATTAAACAGGGATATTAAATCCCTTATCTCAAACGATAAATTGACCATCGTTAATGCTGCTCATTTATAGGCCTGGTAACTTGAGTAACCGTAGAAAAATATATGTATTTTTAATCTTTTAAGTAAGTTACTACTTGGGAAGATGTTAAATTTAAATTTTCTGTCACCTTATGAAAAACCAAGCGAGTCTACGGTAGTTTAACGCCCTTATTTGTCACACGAGCTCCAGCAGAATTAACGGTCCTTTAGGTTCTAAATGCACTGGAGGCGGACTTGTTCCCTATATTGCAATTCCACTTACGAAAAGTTAATCACGCGTTTGCTAACTGTAAGCGAGACTCAATGTTATATTCGAGAAGATCGAAAATTTAACGAACATTTAAGATCGCATACGAGCGACCAATACAAAATTTTCTGTAGGTTAACCACATACGGGTTAATGAATTTGTATTACATTAATTTTTTTTAATTGGCTCTACTGTTTATACATGCGCTTAACATTATAGGTCAATTAAAATTTCGAGACTTCACATTTCGACCACTTCAATAAAATTTTGAACTGCTCCCACACAATATTAATTGTACCACCATGCATTGAATTGTCTGTATCAAATCAAAGACGGACTTCAATTGGGAATTTGGTGGTCTTGCTAAGCCGCGCAGCGCCGCTCCGTAACGACACTTCAAAGGGGAGAGGCTGCATGGACCGTCGAGAGCAAGCCCAGGGGATCAGACCCTGGCAGGCCATAGAGGGATGGTCTTAAGCCCCCGAAGGGACGTAAGATGATAGGTTGTTTGCTGGGCGGCTTACGGGAAATTGCAACAATCGCCGGGCAATCGCCGCGTGATAAACTTGCGACGGCCTCGACTTAGTCACCGCTGTCCGAAACGCTGCCCACAATCCCGAGAGAGGAATTCGTAAAATCGCTTTCATATCACAGGTGCGTTTTTTGAACTTATCGATATGGATTTTGGCAAAAAAAAAATACAATGCTACTGACTTACCTTGTTGGGGGACTATCTCTTGTCAAACTAACGTCTCCCCGACACATAGCACGTGATCGTTCTTTAAGACTTTAATAAACTTTTCAAGGGCAAGGATTTTTCTTCAATGAATAAACAGTTTCAAGTAAATATAATTAACAATGAATAAATAGAAACAAAACAACAAACCTAACACCCTAATCCTAGCCTGACTTTGACTGTGTGTTCATTCACTTTCACTTCACTAATCACGTCCAAATATAGAGTTCATAACTTGGGCTCATGTATCAAGTTCAAACATCGAGTTCAAGCATCGAGGCCTTCCTGAAATAGAACAAAAATAACGCTTGAAATAACTAACTAGAGAATAAATATGGTATTATTGCAGATTAAGCACATCCAAAAAAAGGGTGTTTTTTTTTTAAATTATATGTTTTTTGGGGTGTAGATTACGAATCTGAAATCCATTTTTGGCGGTCGGCATCGGAAATTTTTAATGGAACCTGTTCCTAACTGGACCTAACCCTGTCTCTTATACACATCTAGATGTGTATAAGAGACAGCGCCTGGTGCGTGCACCGCACCAGACGCNGGCCTTCCTGAAATAGAACAAAAATAACGCTTGAAATAACTAACTAGAGAATAAATATATAATAAACAAACAAATTAACAAGCACAAATAATCAATAATCACGAAACTAAAATCACTTCTAAAATTGAACAAACACAAATATAATCACAGAGCTATCGATTAACGTACCTCCACGGCAAGAACACAAGACACAATGACAGTTAAAACGCTATGTTGTTGGAGGTCACGGCTAAGGTGATTGAAAACTAAAAATGAAAAATCAAAATCCTAATACCTAATACATTGCTACTTATGTCTATATATACATGAATAAATCTATTTCCTCTACAACCTAAACAACGCACACATAGGTGGCATCTAGAATGTGGAAGTTTGGACGTCATATACGGTTTTAATGAAGCGATTCCGTATTTAATTGCATCTGGATCGAGGTTAGATGGAAGCCCAATGCATCGTTCACACTGCTGCAAATTTTGTCTGGCAGGGAGCATGCAGCTCGGAAAATGCATTTGCTCATTTACGAGTGATGCAGTACGGAATTGCAATCGTATATGCGATACTATGTTGTTACCGGCGCGATTGGGGTCAGAAGGACTCACTTTGTGTCGCAGGCAACCATATCAATACAGACTTGATCAAATTAAAATAAGATATAGCATTAAATACAAGGTATATTGATTTACGTGTGGTCTGATTAGCACTTACTGACTTTAAAAACGAATGTAGATTATAAATTTATTGGTGTAATACATGTATAAGTTTAGAAGAACTAATGAATTTGTAAGACGTGGTAATGCTAGCAGCGAGGTGTGAGACTCGTGCTAAAAGTTTGGTTGTCACATGCGCCCTAAGGTTCGGCCGCTAAAAATCAGTGGTGAACAACGTATTGACCGTTAACTATGTGGAGTAGCAGCTTGTGTGCTGAAGCAGTGGTGGTTTAAAGTTCGTGTGGTGAGATAGGTCAATTGACTACAGCTGCTTAGGTGCCAGGATGATAATATCTATAGCATTTAGATGGTTGATGTTGGCTCCAGGGCTGATTTGAGCGTTAATTTGCTGGTCTACGGCTGCGCAACCTATGTCATAAACTCTTCTGGCCTAACCTATTCACGTTGCCCCGACTCACTACTCAGCTGCTTTTTAGTGAATGAATTTCTAGGTTTGCGAGAACTTTCGAATTTAGTTAAAAAAATATGACTACTAATTCTATTTTAGAATCGGCTGATGATACTCGTGAAATTATAACAAACATTTTGCTGCTTTGAAGTGAATAAATTTTTAGATTTTGGAGAATTTACGAGTTGAATTTAAAAAGGTATGAATACTTATTCTATTTTAGAAACGGCTAAACTGATACTCGTGAAACTATAACAGACTTTTTGCCGCTTTAAAGTGAATAAATTTCTAGGTTTGGAAGAACTTTCGAGTTGAATTTTAAGAAGTTGTGAATGCTAATTTTATTTGGAAACGGCTGAACTGATACTCGTGAAATCATAACAGGCTTTTTGCCCTCTTTTAAAGTGTGTTTATATCTAGATTTGGGAGAACATTAGAGTTTAATTTAAAAAGTTATGAATATTTATTCTATTTTAGAAACGGCTGAACTGATAGGGTAACATGCCGCAACGGGACCACTGCGGGTCTCGGGCCCATAGCGAGTTTCCCGCTAAGTATGGCAGATATTGGGCCGTGTTCTCAACCGCCGGTCAATAGTTTCACTGGGCAGAAGTGTACGGTTGTACGTTTTGCTAAGAGTTTGCGTTGATAAGTTACTTGCGAATAACTGTTTTAGCCCTGATAAAAGTTTTTTGCTGTTAAATAAAACTGTTTTCGTTTACTGTATATGAAGTTTTTGAAATTACTGTGAATTATATTTTGAAAGTTATATACATAGGGTAACTGAATGCAACCGAATTATTAGTATTATTCGCATCATTAAATTAATTAATTGCAATTATTTTTGACACAATGCATATCATTCGCCTTCATAGTGGTCCAATTAAATACCATCTGAGTGAAATTGAGATAAAATATTGGAAATAATTAACAATGACAATGTTCATAAGCAATTGTCAAATGTCTGGTAATAAATATTGTTCTATATACTATCATTTACCGAATTACGATTTTACAATAGTATTGAATTATTATCATCGAAAAAGTAGTTGTAATGTAAATTTTGCCAAAAGAAATAAATCACCGAACAAACAGTCTCATGCTGCAACACAAGTTTCAAAAATTTTATGAAAAGACATCATTAAGTTCTTTAGAATTAAACTTCTTATATTTAGAGGCAACAAAATTGATGATTCAGCTCGCATGTGTGTACACTGCATCATTAATAACAGCATCTGAATGAATTTCTCAACACCTGTTCCAACAAATCCAAAGCCTATAACATGGTCACCACATGCCCACAGTGCTTCAGGATCAAGCCGTATTTGCCTGCGCACGACCTGCCATCGCACCGCTGCCACGACCTGCCATCGCACCACTGCCACGACCTGCCATCGCACCGCTGCCACGACCTGCCATCGCACCGCTGCCACGACCTGCCATCGCACCGCTGCCACGACCACAGAGAAAAGATGACGCGAGCTCTGATGCTTCTGATCGCCGCCGCCGCTGCCTCGTCCGCGGCGTAAGTGCTTCGCTTGCAAGTCAAGCGACGATGTGATATTGACAAGATTTGAGAATGCAATTGTTAATTATTCATATATGTCGTGCTATTTGATTGAAATCAACGATTTGACTGAAGAATGACAAGTATTTAGAGTAACGGATTATGATTTTGTAACTTCGATTTAGCTCGAACATTATTTTATTTACTTTACATTATTACTTCGTCATACCAGAGTGTCTGACCCTTGATTAAGGCAACGTTTATACGTTACTGTCCGATGGTCTAACGAGAAAATTCGGATGTGAAGAGTCGGTCATTCAGGGACCTTGTTTTGAAATATAATAGCGTGTATATTTTCTATGAAAATTTTCAAACGTTTTACGCATTTCAAAGATGAAGTAACTTGCTAATTTTATACACTGAAATGATTATTTGTAATTTTTTACAGAGGTGCTTCCCCTTGTAAAGGGGCTTTGATGGTGGCGCAGTCGAATGTCTTGTATTCCACCGATGCTCGTAAATGCGCAGTGAAGGACAGAATTTTCATGAACAACTTTAATTCTATAAGTGAGTGCAACATGAGTTATTTAGCATCAATTTATTCCTATTGATTTTAACATAATTCCAAGCTTAAATTGAACAATTGTGGGTCAAAGATCAATAACCAATATTTTTATTTAATTTGTGAGGCAGCATTCTCGGCTGTGTAGGAGTTGGTTGACGACATATCGAAATGTACATATTTTTGATTTATCCATTTTTTGTTAACGTATACTATAAACACTTAATATTTTCATCGCGCTAATTTTCTTATCAAATTAAGCATTGCACCCGAGCCTATACGATCAAAACTCGTTCCCAGATTACATCGACAGATGATCATTCAAAAACTATGTACTATTCCATAGACGCTTGCTGCAAACTGAAATGAACAGATTTAAATTCCGTTTTCTCAACATGAAATTATAATGTCCGAAATGATTTGTATTGCTGTATCTTTTCAACAGCGAGCTTTATTGACGACTGGCAGCTTTAAATGAAAAATCGATAGGAATCAGCTGAGCTCAAGTTTCTTATTCTCAATTTAAACTTGATGATTATTTGTGCTCGTCAGTTTTGCCTGGAAAGATCTTGTGCTTTTACATCATTGTGTAGACTGTAGATGGTAGTAATACATAACCCATCGACTAAATTTTTCCCCCAACAGATGGAAAATGCTACAACTTCAAAAATTTGACTGGGTACGATGCAGAAACATGTGATCCACTACAGTTCAATTATTCCCAGTGCATGTTGCAAGCAGCCAAGCTCGTGAGTACTTCAGCGTATATACATGAACAACTACATGAACTATACAGCGTACGTACATGAACAACTTCGCCTATGCGCCAATTTAGAAGCAATCTGCATTTTTGCAGTGAGTTCAATCTTACTTTTTGATCGCTGAATTGATATTTGTGTAGTGTTTTCTTAAGCATTATCAGTGAACTGCAATGAAATTTCATAGATGTAGTTTATATTGTAGAGCATAACTCATGACAAGACAAGTTTTCTTCTTTGCATAAAGAATAAAAATGTTTTAAATTCTCCTGATCTAGAGAGCCCGCAATTCTAAGTCTATCAAATTTCATCCCTCGAAATGTTTATTCCTTGCTTATTTTTCTTAAAATACTAACTTATTGTAAATTTTTGCAGGAAAAAGTAGTCCTTATCCAAAAACTAAACGTATCTGCTGCTTATTGTTTTCTATTCTGATAGTTATTTCCATAATCTTCTTTCCTCAACAGCTGAAACCTGACAACACATTTGACTATGTGGCTTTCGAGACGATTTCGTTGAAGAACCAATGCAGCACTGATACCAACTTCTCAAAAGCTTACCCGAACTGCAAAAATTCCACCATGAAATATTTGAACGTGAGTCATTAAAAATGTTTTTATTTTTAAAGCAGTCTCGCGCAACATGTTTTTTGTTATAAATGTCACACACAATAACAATAATACATAAATTAGCCGTCACGAGAGAATATTCAGGCAGTGTAATAGATCATGATTCATAAAAATATATCCACCTTAATTTGGTTCATAAAAATATATCCAGCTTAATTTAAACGTGCGTGGCTCTAGAAGCTCATGACTTAAATATACGTGGCAGGCTATCCGGCTGTTCGTGTGCCTCAATGCTGCCGTGCCCTAACCCGCTCACCCTATGGAGGAGAAGCCACGACTCAGAACAAGACTGACTGATCGCCCTCACGCTTCGTGCACGGGATTTGTGTATTTCCATATTAAATTTATTGGTGTTTCTGCAATAATGTAGTTATTTTCCTGAGAACAGCTATGAGAATATCTTCAATGCAAAACATTTCGCTGAAATTAAGTTATTTGCAGTGCGCTATTTAGACAGCAAATTTAGAATGGTGCAGAGACGAAATTTGAATCACGTCAACCCCCACTATGTTGATAATATCATCAATAGATTAGATGATTATAATGTTTGTGATGATCTAAATTCAGAACTCGACGTTACCAATTGCATCACCTCCAATTAAAGTACGGATAGGTCCTTTCGTCACGCTTACGGAATGGAAGTTCCATCGTCACGCTTACCAGACGTTCGGATGGAAGTTCTACAATCGTTCCAATTGGTTATTGAAGGAATACTTATGATGGAGCTGGATATTATATGAAGGCAGTATATTCACAACAGCTGAATGCAGTATATTTACAACGCGGATAACTATTAATTAGTATGGCAAAGTGGTTTTTGAAAAAATTACAAGTCTTTGACATTGGAATGCGAGAGAGAGCCAAAGCTGAGAATGAGAACACTTGCTAGACACTTAAAAGGAAAACCCCAATAAGTACCCAATCATAAAAATTATTTTGTCTGCAATCAACAATCTTAGAAATGACAGGATTCTCTCACTAACGTCTAGGACAAGTTACCCTCAAGCCTCAAATCAGGTACCCAGTGCGCCACTGCGCCGGTTTGGTTTTGTCAAATTTTTCTGACACCTAGTAAAATGACCCCCAGCTTATTCACACAGTACTCACATACCTTTCCGTGTGTAAGCTCACTAGAGAGCATAGCAGCCTATTCAGCAGTCATCCAACGTTGAAACAACATTAAAACTAGTATAGCAGCCTACCCATCACTCATCTAAGGTTGAAACAACGTTAAAACGAGCATAGCAGCCTACCCATCACTCATCTAACGTTGAAACAACGTCAAAACTAGTATAGCAGCCTACCCATCACTCATCTAAGGTTGAAACAACGTTAAAACGAGCATAGCAGCCTACCCATCAGTCATCTAACGTTTAAAACAAGCATAACAGCCTACCCATCAGTCATCTATCGTTGAAACAACGTTAAAACAAGCATTGCAGCCTACCCAGCAGGCATACAACGTCTAAAAAATGTTAAAACGAGCATAGCAGCCTTCCCAGAGGCATCTAACGTTGAAACAGCGTTAAAACGTATATATAATCTTGATTTCAGATTGAAATGTTGATCAACCAAAATTAAACGTTGAATCGATGTCGAAATGTGAGAATTACTCGAAGAAACGCAAAACAACTCAATTTCAAAGTTGAAGCAACGTCGATTTTGATACATTGAATTTCCATCTATCTTCCATCGTTGAACCCACGTTATCACACCAACATTGAGTGACATATGAATAGATATGCGACTATTTTAGTCTGCCCATATTTTCAAACGTTTCCTAAGCGTTTTTATTTATTTTTTATGCCTACTTATGTAAAAAGAACTAAATTAAATTCTACGTTGAAACCTTGAATATCGAGTGCACATAATTTTAGAACAAATTAATATTACAAATCTTACATACGGTCATACATAACATAAATTAATGGGTTTACATGCTTTATGAATCATAGCCTTGAAAAAAGGACTATACAATATTTCCGGAATTTAATAAATTATATCATAGTTCTGAAGTTGCTTTATTGATTTCAACAATCTCTTCCTTTATTGCAAGCGAACTCATCAACCTGAATTTAAAATTGATGATGAACGTTCTCGATGAGCGACATGAAAAGCCTGAAATCATTAATTCATTTTCCAGAGGCAATGGTAATATTTATATAAATATCTACAATATCTACTTACCTTAGAGACGTCAACATGAATGTGCAATCGAATATTTTAATAACACTGCTGATCCAAGTGACATGTATACTCGGAAGAAAAATTTGTTCATTTTTGATGATATTGCTACGGAGAAGAATCAAAACCCTGTCAATCTTTACACCCTTGGAAGATACAATAACTAAAATTCAATTTACTGATCCAAGGACTATCACATATTACCAAGACAAACCATTAGAATGAATTCAAATCTATTAATTCTATTCAAGTTACCTTTCATCGATATGAAGAATATTCACAGTGTTACATTGCTTGGGATATGCCCTATGCAGAGTTTAAAAATTGTGTAATGAATCGTATAAAGTACCATATAGTTTTGTATTGATCAATAAAGATGAGCACCCTGGTTTAGGAAGTATTTCAAAAAATTTAAATAAATCACATATCCCATTAAACTATCTCTCATTCTGGCACTCGCTCTAGGTTAAGTCCCGGATTTTCAGTAACGGCGATGGTTGGAAAAGTGCATGGTCAATTAATTGGGAGTAAATGATCCGGATTTCATGGGGGGTAAATGGACTTTAACATATTGAGCTATTTTTGCTGACTGCCAATATATAGGCACGTCCTTATACTAATAAACTTTACCCAATTTGACTTATTTAAGGCTTGTAATCCGGCGCCAGGGTAAGTTGTGTTATGAGTTAGTGAACGAACCATATAATTATTAATATTGATATATGCAAACGAATTGTCTAATTTCAGTGTGTGGATACTTGATGAGGTTTTGTGTTTGGGACCCGGCACGTGGTCTCACTCCCAGCTTTAGCTCTCTCTGTCACATTCCAATGTCAATGACCATCGGCAAATTATAGCATATAGAAAAATATTTTTTATCCTGAGAAGTGTCCACGATATTTGATAATAAACATATCGTAATTAATTACTGTCCAAAATTTTGCCTAGCTGAATTTCATCCAGATGATATTAAATTGGACATGATGTGAATGATGTGTCCTGTGCCAAACATAGCTGGATCAAATTAATTTCTTTACTTGAAGAAAATTACTTTTTTTTTGGTTTAATTACAGTTCCGGTCTTCTATATGTCTGGTGTTCAAGTCACAAATTATTCGATAGCATCATTAAGTTATGCATCGGTAATAATTTTCGCAGTGGTTAATATTGCGAGTTCAGAGGCGCAACTTATTTAAGAAACAGAGGGTACGAAAACCAGAAGAAACAGAAGGTGTGATGGCAATAGGTAAATTAATATTTCTTTTACTGAAGTTAACCATAAAACCCGCTGCATTCTACTGAAAAATTTGTCCACGCTCACGAGTTAGTGGCCATCATCGGCGTACTCTTTCCATAATTCTATGCGTCGAGTGTCGGTCGATAATGGCTCGTTAAAGCACTTTGAAAAATAGTAAAGCTCCACCGTACGAGTTGAGCATGATTACAGTTTATGCTCGTCTGAGGCAAGAATTCATCAAAATCATTTGACTGACAAAAACTAAAAAATATTGACAAAACTAATTTAATGAGGAAATAATTTGTAAAGAATATTATACAGTCATGAAATAAAATAAATATTTTTAGCTATCCCAAAAAATAATCTCTAAACTCTAACCCAATATTTCATACTAACTTAAGGTAAGGGACCTAGATGAAAAGTTTTTTCAACTTTCTGTAGTTCGGTTACGCTATAGTGCGAACAAGTTGTGGAGTTGCAGAGAAACAATGCGTGCGAAATTTTCAATCTTCAGTTTAGTTCATTCATGATTCGAGGGTAGTTTGAAAATGTAAAAAATTTAAGAAAATAACATAAATTTTAAAATTGTCAAAAATAAATAAATGAATGAATTTCAGATGTCACATTGGAAAAAATCATCATAAAAACGTGTTTGGTATACATGATCCAAGTTTCAACGCTATATCTTATAATCTTCATTGTTTGAGTACCAAAAATTTTTTTAGAAATACATATGAAAACATACGTATACATACAAACGAAAACATATTCATACATATGAAAATTTCTTCAAAAATCCATATGGTAAATATAGAGGTCTCAATTTGCAAAAATCATCATGATATCGCCTTTAGGATATATATTCCAAGATTCAAAGCTCAATTATATCATTTCCGTTATCAGAGGAGGAATATAAACTTTAAAAAATGTGAGGTAAAGATTATACAGGAAAATGTTCTCCATAATAAATTTTATTTACACTAGAGCTTCAATAGTTAAAAAGAGTTATTAAAATATTACTAGGATACATATTTCAATTGAAATATATCTATTTTATCATCTTGATTGCCTGAGGGCCACTCTAAAAATGACTAGTCCCAATACTTCTTAAAGTGTTTCTTGAATAATTGTTTAGCCATAATTTCTTGTCTTACAATTTTCATCCTAAATATTGAATTACAAACTAATTGACCTATATAATGCCAACACCCAATGTACTGGCACCTTCAAAACATAATCCATGGATACAATTTTCGAAGAATCAAGTCATGGTATGAACCAAGTTTTTTGAAAATCTCGTTTCCCCAACGGTAAATAAAAGTTCCCGTCAGTAATGAGCAGACGTAAAAATTATAGAAATACAATTGTATATACCGCACATGGCAAAGAGACTTAACTAATTAAGAACGAAAAGCTCGAACTATGATGATGTATTTATTTGATAGCGAACACCCATAATAATGCAATACTCCACCAAATAACAGATTATATTATTGTGAGCATTCTGTGCTGGTACGACTGATCTAATCAAAAGTGGTATTATCGTCTTGGATCAATGGACGTTAGTTATAATTCTACACAGTTATTCGAAAAACAGTCATTCGCATAACCAATATTGTTGAAGAAAGGTGTCTACTGACCGACTGTACTGTTTTGCAATTCATTTTAAGGTCATATTCATCATTCATTATATTTGCTTTAACTCATCCGTGCGGGGGCTTATGTACAGGGCATTGGAGAACCGTTACCTCTCTTAGTGCCGGAGATAGCGATTATAATTTAAAATGTCTGGAATGCTGACTTGAACTTTTATTATTCTTGGAAGCCTTTTGAAAGAGGTATTAATGTTTGAATAACTGAGAAGATATTTTGATATCAAGTTTCCGTTAACAACTAGCTTTCCATTCCTAGATTATGTTTTCCACTAACGAATGCATTTTAATAGCGTCGTCTCTCTCAACGTCCTTCGAAAGTCCAGT